CATACATATACACACATACACACATGCATATACATACATATCTGTGATTCCACAAAATTTTGCAAGATCTATTAGTCGACTAAATTACGTTTAAGGAATGATGCTCAGCTACTACCACACCAAACTTCAGCTCAATGTTTGCAAACTTGACTGACATGTGGGAATTTTTTTTTATTTGTGACAATGATTCGCCGTGGCAGCCATCTTGACTCGACTTCAAAAGTTAATCAGTTGTAAACGTTCATCCATTTTTTTTACTTTCTGAAGCTTCCCTTAAAGTCCATCCAGTGATTCATGCAATATTTTGCTAACAGACAGTTAACTCCAACAGTAAATAAAGTTTTAAACAAAGAGCTTGTACAGTTTGTTAGGGTTTAAAGTTCAAGTTAAGGATAACTCTCAGCTACTACCACACCAAGCCTCAGCTCTATATTTGTCAAACTGACTGAACTACAGTTATTTTTGTTTCGATAAGGTCGATTTGCCGTGGCAGCCATCTTGAATTGGGTTGACTCCAAAAGTTAATCATAGATGTACATTCAATGATTACGTTCATTAGATATTTTGCTAACAGATGGACAACACAGACTCTCAGAACTTAAATTATCACGTCTTTGATGACAGCGAGTGATACGAAGAGCGAGCAAATGATCTGTAAAATGTAAAACTTCTAATTTACAATGTTCTCTCTCTCAGGTTCTGGTCGGATCTGGATGGACGACGTTGCCTGCACGGGGACTGAAGACACCATCCACCAGTGCAAGTTTTCTGGTTGGGGCAAAACAAACTGTGGACACGTCGAGGACGCCGGCGTGACCTGCAGCACCTGAACGTTCAGGACGGCGGCGGCTCCTCTCTGATGCTTTTCTTTTGCCAGACGTGACATTTTATCAGAACTTTGCTCAAAGAACGTGGCGCCTCTTCCAGACGAGCGCTCGTTTGTGCACGGACGTGTTCGAGTGACTTTCAGCTTGAGGACTGAACCACGAGGAGGCTTTCACCCGTCGGTAACGGCACCGTTTGAGCCGGGATCACAGGTTCTGGTGATTGTTTCTGCTCACCTGTCGACCTCTCTGAGGATCGCATCACGCCGTGGTGACCTCAGATTGTGAAGAACTCGGCAGCAACTCCTTCACAGAGCATCGTTTTACCTAACAGGATGCAGGATGCTCCTAAAGGAAACGAGAAGACTTAAATAATGAACTTTATTTTTTATGCTGCTTTTCACAGTATTACATGTTAAAGACTTTGCAGCCTAAAAGTTGTGCCTTATTTTTTGTGTACAGTCTGGAATAAAAGGCAGTCGTGGAGATTTGCAGGGCAAAATATTCAACAACATCTGGAATGTGAAGTTTAATTTCACAAACAAATCAACTGTTCTGGAATTTTTAAACTGTTTTAAACCATCGCTCTTCTTTAGCTAATATTTACTTTTTTTTATTAGTTAGGAGGTCAGTACAATAAAAGTGGTCAAAATACTTCATTTCAAAACAAACCTTAACATTTTTAAACTGCAGCCTTCTTGAGTTTATGCTCAAATTAGGAAGTTTGGCTCTTTTTTTTTTAAAGCTCTTAAAACTACTTCCAGATCTTATTTTCGAGCAGTTGAAACACTTCGAGTATCTGCTGGGAGAAACTGCTCGATGGTCTGTTAATCATTTTTTAAATAACGTTTTTTCTCATTTAATTTTTCAAACTTTTTTTTTTTTCCGGCTGCTCTCTTCTTCGGAGGTCGCCACAGCGAACTAACTCGCACGAAGACTTGGCATTTGTTTTACGCCGGATTCTCTTCCTGATTCAACCACGGACCACCGAGCACCCGCAGCTCTCCGTGTGGAGCAGAGCGCTGCCGTCTAGGGCACCCGGGGGAGCAGATGATGGGGGTTAAGGGCCTTGCTCAAGGGCCCAGAGTGGGACAAATGAGGGTGGAGGCAGATGAGGGTGTTTCGCATTTCCACCCACAATTTGGTGTTGTCGGTCCGGGGAGTTGAACCAGCGACCCTCTGATCACAGGCCCACCTTCTCTAACCACTTCTCCACCCCTCCCCTCGCCCATTTAAATTGTCCAACTGTTAAAATTTATGTAGCGACTCGGTTTGCTCCCGTTGTTTCATAATAATCCTCCTCTGGACTCGTGAAAACTTTATTTTGGACGTATTTAGTCGTTTTCACCTGAAAACAATCATTTACTGTATATTTTCATTAGATTATATCTTAACTTGCAAACCACGTGATGCTCATGAGCTTTGTTTTTTCTTTGCCCCCATAAAAAAAATACTTTAAAGGAATAGCACAGATGTTTTTAAGGGGGTTCTGTAAATATATTATGAACTATTAATATCTTACCTGTCATAGACGTCTTGTTAAACAACCTCAGTTTGGAGAAATAGTTTTATTATGACAAGATTGATGAGCTAATGGCTAGTCTGAGCTGGGTCCAGACTAAATTAGTTGATGTTAAAACACCAGCTAGCAGCTCATATAAAGACGATATTATATTCACACATTTAAGGCTGCAATGATTAGTCGATGTGATCTATGCAGTCAAATAAATGGTCAAGAGTTTTACTGCTGATGCCTCATACACAGAGCTAATCATACAGAAACAAAACTGTTTTAACTGCAATACATGGCTTAAGCACCTGGGGGCAGTATTTTATCTGTTAAGACTGCATACAGCATTTTAAACAAGGAAAACGCTGAGGAGGAGGATGGTGATGACAAAGCACGGGATATTTGGGCTAAATGGAAAAAACACAGATTTTTCAAAGTGTAAGGATTTCACTGAAAACAAACCAATCGAAAGCAGATTGTGCAAATCGGATCTTTCTTCTGCAGCAAATCAAACCCTGGATCTGAAACGACAGCTTTCACTTTCGTAAGAGTCAGTGGGTAAAATTTGCTTTGGTCCTTCATTAAAAAAAATAAAAAAACATTTATAGTTCCAAATGACAAACAGGTTCTTTAAACGAGCGTAACTTCAGTTGTGTTTCTGCACCGATATTTGGGCAGAAACTTTGCACTGTTTGCACTTAAAAGTGATCAACAATTCTAGATAAATAGACAATTAGCGTAATGTGAAACTGCCTGTGGTGGTTTATAATTTAGCGTTTACACAAACTGTTATATCAGTTTTAAGATCTGAGGTTTTTTAAATTGGCAGCAGTTCCCGATGATCTGGCCGTTTGAACTAGCCGTTAGCTCGTTAGTACATGAAGAATTAACATATTTCTCTAAACTTAAACCACTCGGAGTGGTCTACTGCAGTCATGGCTTGTCTGACTGGTTCAATTTGTAAATCGTGTCTGATGTGCCCCTGCACATCTGTAAAGGTTCTGCAAACTTGAAGAGAATATGGTCAATGTTGCCTTTTGGTAACCCCGAGAAAACGAGCAATTTTTTTAAAGCAACCGAAATAAAAGCTTTGCCTGTTTTAAATTACTGCTTTGTTAATGAATACAGTAGTCCCTCGTTTATCGAAGGGGGTCCGTACCCTGAAGCCCCGCGAAGTGAAAAACCATGAAGTAGGGATAGTAGTGCATGTAGCAGTGTGTGTAATATATATATATATATATATATATATATATATATATATATATATATAAAGGCTATTAAACACTTCCCACACTTGCAATATTCTAAAAGTGTTTCTAAACTCTAAATGCTCTAAAAGAGCACAGCATGTCGTGACTTAGCTCTCTGCCACAGCTGCGCTCTTGGCCACGCCCACTTCTCCGCAGCAGAACGGAGATCGCAGAGGAGGGAGGAGCTGTAGGAGGACATTTCTCTTTAAAATTCATTTTAAATAAAAATTCCATGCCGATCGCGCGGCTCGTCCATCAATCGGCCAACTGCTTATCGTGTTCAATCTTATTTTGAAAAACTTCGATAGAGCAAGTTCGCGAAAAGAACCGCGAAGTAGCGAGGGACGACTGTACAACAATACGAGGACATTCTCTCATAAAATTGCAACTAGTGCAGCTTAAATCGTGTCAACAGGTCTTTTGTGGGGAGTCGGGTGCTCTCTGGGGCCCCCTGCTGACCAGGAGGACAAAGGCTGCTGTATATTAATTATAACCTTTTTACAGAACCCCGTATTAAACGACCTGAACTATCCCTTTAAATGTTTTAAATGCTCCAAGGGTTAATTGTCACTCCAGTTAATGCCGACGTTGCAGATGAAAGTCTGCCGTGTGAGATTTATAACGGAGGGTTTGTCAAACGGCCAAATGTCAGATTGTTTCAGCTTCGGTCCAGACACGGAGCAAACCACACAGATCTGCATCAGCACGTCTTTCTCTCAGAGGGATTTTATCTCTCTGGCTGCTCTCACATCCAGACCCGGCCAAGGTCTCCTCCGCACTCGTTCTGTTTGTGTGCTGAGGGCGTGAAGCTAAACATGTTTCACATTTGAACAGTCAGGAACATCTTAATGTTTAAAACTCACTTAGTGTTGTATATTCTCTTCCACTTGCGTTTCTTTTAAACGAGTCCAGTTTAGAGTTCGTATGTTTGGAGTCTAAGTTGCAGCCAGAAACTTCGTTTGGCGCCTGATGTTGAAGTGCCACGGCCTTTGTCAAAGTCTGTTTTAAACACAAGCTTTTGTCCCAATTTTATATAAAATTCTTGGGAACGTTGGGTTGGAAAGCAAATCAAAAAGACTGATGTGGTATGTTTGCACTGTTGCTTTTCTTATTAAATTAACTGAATTTACAGGAATATATGCACATACTCAAAAGGCACTGCAAAAATTAAAACCACTTTTTACAATTTCTGTTTTGTATTTTTTTAAACATGACAATCCACACGTTCTGTTCAGTCCTGGGGTCGCAGTTTTCTTGCAGATGAGATGAGATACTTTCAGCACTTCAGGTTCAGACTTTTTTTTACCACCTTTCTGAATTTTCAAGTTGAGAATATATTCAGGACCTGGTCCAACTTCTTTTAAGGACTAGACGTAACTCAAATTCAAATAAATGTTTACTAAAAACAAAATTTGTGTGAGTTTAAACATCCGTTTTGTGTTATCTGAACAAACAGAAAAGTAGAGCAAAGCTCTTTAAGTTGTTGCAATGATCACTTTCACCACTAGATGTCACTACAACAAACTGATATTGTAATTAAACACACTTTTTATCAATGTGTATTATTTTCAGTAGGTGGGAGCAGTTAAAGTGGGATTTTCTACACAACTCTGACCTGTGATTGTTTTTATTTTTACTATTCCTGAACAAAAAATGACCAAAAGTCTGTTTGTAAAACAAAAACACCAGCATGGTCAATGTAGAGTCTGCAAAGAGGATAAAAAAGTTTTAACGTGCTCCATCTGCTTGTGTATGTGAACACAAACTGATCAAATCAATTTATTTGTTGACGGCTCTTAACGGAGCTGCGTTTTAGTCCAAACTTCAGCGAGATAAGAGTTTTGTTGTTTCCTCAAAATTCACACCAAAGCCTCATCCACATGAGATCAGTTTACTAGAGTCAAAAAAGTGTAAAAAAACAACCCAAACATTTTATACGATTGGGAAGACGATATAAACAAGGTGCACTTAAACACTTAAAACATGTAATTTGTAGGAATAATTGCTTGCACCTGTGTTTTGGGAAAACAACAACTGACTAACTTCTGGAAACAACCTAATTTAACATGGCCGCCACAAGTAATAAACCATAAAAAACCATAACTATTGTTACAACTCTGTCAGTTTTGCAGACATCGAGATAAAATTTGGTTACAATTTAGCCGAGAGTCGAACAAATGGACTTCTGTTCTGCATGAAAGACATTTTGCTTGCCATTTGGGGAACTCGAGTTTGGAACTCATGCA